TGTGGCGTTTTGCAAACTCTTCATCTAAAAAACAAGTAGATGCCCCCCGAATCCAATAAAGCTAAAGTTTTTTGTTTTTGAGGGCCTAAAAACAAGGGAATTGTAAAACAACGGGCAGGTTGGACAGAGAAGGAGGAACCTGATTGTTGTCGTGATATTAGATTGTCCAGCCGCACGGTTCCTACTGTGGCTGGGCGTCGTCGTTTTCCGGAATCATCGCACTTCTAGTCTTGACAGGGTGCCAATTTTGCTTCTTTGGGCAATTTCCAACCTTGTGACCTTCTTCTCCACAGTACAAACATAACCCTTCCTCCATACGCTGTTTCTTCTCTGTTGGAGTAAGAGATCGGACACACGCCGTGTCGATTTGCATGTCTGTTGCCTCCGAATGTGAGTTTAAGCTATTTGCAGACATAGTCACGTCGTAACGAGTCATTTGGTGTCTTGGACGTTGGTCTTGGCGACGCTGGAATAGGCGATTGTCACACTTTACAGCTTGGCTAATAGCTTCATTGAGCGTTTGAGGATCAGGAAGAGATAACAGCAAGTCCTTCACATCATCCTTCAAGCCCCAATAAAACTGACTCACCAACGCCTCTTCACTCCAATTAATGTCACTTGCCAATTGTCTGAAATCCGAGGCATAGACTGATGCAGAGCGTGTTCCTTGTCGTAGCGATCGGATCTTTCTTGTAGCCCATCGAACTTTATCATGCTCGCCAAATGCTTCTGCAAACGCCTCCAAGAACATTTCAAAGTTGCTCAGGATTGGCGATCGCTTCTCGAACAAGGGAGTAAACCAAGGCAGAGCTTGTGCTGTAAGCAAGGTTCCAACAAGCCCAACATGCGCTTCCTCCGTCGGATAACGTTCGGGCTGTAAAATTGTTATCAACCTGATTTGATTGACAAAACCTCGAAACTTGGAACGAGTTCCATCAAACTTATCCGGAAGACTAACTCGAGGCTCGTTTCGTTGTAGGACTACTCGATCTTCTTGAAATGGAGGTAGAATTGCTTCTTCTGGTGCAGAAGTTTGAGGCTGATATGCTTTAGATGGCGCTATCCCAGATGCTCCATTGTTATGGAGTCCTACCATGACTCCTTCGATCTCTGTTGTCCTATGTGACAACGAGGCAAGAGCATTTATGATGGCGTCTAGTTTGGATTCCAAACTTTCAGCCATTTTAACGTCTTAACCTTCGGCTAACCTTCAGAAAGAAGAAAAAAGAGTTTTGACAAGAGGACAATATTGGTTCAGAGGAGAGTACTCCGCAACCTCTAAAACGCCTTAAGACTCCAAGATGAGGGGTAATCCACTCTCTCCAAGAAGAATAAGGCTCCAATATTGAGAAAGAAGAGATATCAGTTTAGAGGAGGGTAATCCGCAACCTCTAAAACACTAGCACACCTTCAAGAAGAGGGGTAATCCACTCTCTAACAAGAAGGAACTAGCTCTGATACCAGTAAAAATGCAGTCTCGACAAACTGTCACGGACACAAAATACAGACTTGAAATCTAACAAGAAGTTCAAGAAGAAGTGGCAGAACTAGATTAAACAGATGAGTACAAGAACAACACTAGAAAGGTGAGCTAGAACTCCAAGAGATGTGTTGTCGAGACTGAAGAACCCTTCAGCCTCGACTCCTATATATACTACTGAATAGGAAGCTTCTCAAGCTACTTCCGCTAACTAGGACGCTTCTCCAACAACTTCTACTAATTAGGAAACTTCTCGAGCAACTTCCTAGAATCTATCAAAATATTCTAGAACCTTCTAAGAATATTCTAGAACCTTCTAAAAGAATCTTTAGGGAATATTCTAAGAATCTTCTAAAACCTTCTAAAAGAATCTTTAGAGAATCTTTAGAGAATATTCGAAGAATCTTCCAATGTATGTCCATGACAATATCACTGTGAAGCCTATTGTAAAGAATGATCTCAATTCCATGTAGGCAATAAAATATGGCTTCCTTGTTATAATATTAAGACTAGTTTTCCTTGTGACAAATTGGATTATAATAAATTTGGGTAATTTTCTATTTTTTAAGAGATCAATCCACTTGAATATCAATTACACTTATTTAAGTCTTAGAGATCCATCATATATTCAATGTATCTCTTCTTGAGCCATATAAGATAGTAGATATATTAAGAAGAAGACAAATGCCACTTCTTCATGTAGATATGGATATTATACAAGAATTTAAAAGCAAAGAAGTCTTAGACTCAAGGCAATGCCAAAATAGGTTATAATATCTTATACATTGGCGTGGATATGATATTAGTAAATGCACATGGGAGCCATCTAAGAATCTTGCAAATGTACCAAAAAAAGTTGATGCTTTTTATTGACAACATCCACCAAAATCAAAATAAAGAGTCAAGGAATTATTATTATAAAAAAAATGCCGTTCAATGGAGATTGCATTTTATCCTTATCTTTGTTTGTGATTTTTGCATATTTGTAGTGCTAAGGAGATGAAAAATCAATAACCAACTAATTCAACCTATTTTATACAACACAATTTGATGGAATCTTTTTTATCTTAATTTTATTATTATATATATATTATAGATTTTTAAAAATAAAATATATTTATTTTTTAATTTATTTAAATCTTAAAACGTAAGACCATTATAAAGATTATTTTGATAATATTGTTTTTTAATTTTTTTAAAAAATAAGTTTTTAATATTCTTTAATAAGATATTGTATCTATAGTCAAAGTGGTGTTGTAGTTTTTTCCATATATAATATGACATCACGCTCTTTTTAAAAATATTTGCATACATTTTAAGTAATTTTATTGATTGAATTAAATTTGATATTCATAATAGATAGTTTTATGGTATTATATAGATTTTTTTATGGATTCAAGTGATTTGTGTATGTTCAAAAGAATAGTGTAAAATATCATTATTTATTTATTTAAAGTTTTTTAGCATACTAATACCTTATCAAACCACTACAAAATCAATTACTATTCTCTTTTATATACTTACATCACTTTTTGTGTAGATATAAGAGCAAAACTATATGTAGTATTTTAAATACTTGTAGTAGATTTAAACACTTGTAGTTGATTTAAACACTTAGTATATTCAAATGAGTCTTTTATTAATTAAAAATATTTTAAAATTTTCAAATAATAAATTAGAAATTTAATAAACTATTTCTTATAAAGAATATTTTTTTAAAAAATATTTTTTAAATCTATTTTAATCTTGTCAATATTTTTTTATTTTTCTAAATAACTCACACATGTGAAGATTTGTTTTTTTTGGACTCTCCCATCTTATACTTTTGCCTTATTATATCATAGTTACTCACAATATCTATTCTCTTCATTTTCTTTCTTTTATTTATCATGACAACCATATTTCTATAGGATTTAGATGTTTTTGTATAAATATAGAAAACTATTATATAATAGAAGAAGAAAAACAACAACAATAGACTAGTTTTTTTTATTTCTATTGATGCATTTTAAGAACCAAACTTGTTGAAATTTTTGAATTGTAGTTCAAGACTAGTAGCACCTTTATTTTGGACCTTGGAAAGCATATATATTTAAAGATTTATGGTTTATTGTTCTAGATGATGTATTTAAAACTTTGATAATAAATAATTGAATGAGTACTTAACAACTAGATTTTTACATTAAAAATGCATATTTTCTAATTATAGAATTTATTGCTTTCTTGAATACCAAAAAAAACAAATATAACTAGATATAGTTACATAGTTACGAAAAATAAAATGTTATTATCTTCCTTTGGATATCAAATTACATTTGCCAAGTGCCACAAACTGGAGTTAAAAGTTTGAGTAGTAGGCTTCATAAATTGGGTAAATATGTTTTATTACATGATATCATAATCCACAAAAATGTTGTTAACAAAGAAGTGTGACAGTTTTGAGTGTAATTTGCACACGTTCTTAATAAACATAATCTTCATGTGTTAAAAATAATTTAAAAAATCGTTTTAAAAATAAAAATAATAGAGTAAAAATGACGATTGACTGCAGCAATTCTGGATTATTCATTGTTTTGGACCAAGCAAACATTCAAACACACAAAAGGGTTAAATTTACACATATTCAATTTATTCCCAAGATTTTGAAGCGAAAAGACTATTCATGTCACTGAATGGACAAAAAAAGTAAAGTATAAAGAAATTAGACTCGATGTATAATGGACCAATCATGGGGGAGTGCTAGAAGTGAAAAAAGCATTAAGTTAAACCAATAAATCAGGAGACCGGGCTGTGCCGGGTATGATGATGCTGTCATACTCGATTGACCCAGCCCTCGATCTCTTTACCGCACTCACTCCTTTTTTCCCTGCCCTGCCCTGCCCAGCTTTCCTTTGGCCCTCTCGCGTCCAGTGCCCCTGCGGCCCTGGCTTGGCTTGATTTGGCTTGGCTTGGCTTCACTGCTTGTCGATCTCGCAGATCCTGCTTTGTTGTTTCCTTCACGGATATGAAGAGGAGTGCGCATCTCTTGTTACGTTCTTCGCCTTGCTCCCACGGCGCTTCGTTAGCCATTCGTGAAGGGTGTGCGAGTGTGTGTATTTTTTGGCTTTGATTTAATTTGAATTTTGGTGCAGTTTCGAGCTTACGCCTTTGAGAAAGAGGATGTTGCGGAGAGATGTTGGAGCTTAGATAGTCGACGGTAGCATTATTGATCGGTGGTTCTTCTGAGTTGGTTGATCGAATCTGAGGTGTATCAGGTGTCCGGCCACAATGGTAGGTTTCCTTTAGTGATTTATGAGAGGTGGTGCGTGATTTGATTGATTGTGCGTGAACGAGGGTTTGAGGCGTGAGTTTTTTTTTTTTTTTTTTTTTTCCTTCTTCTTCTTCTCGTGTCTTCTGGTTCTTTTCAGCTAAGGTAATGCCTTCGTGCGTTGCTTCAGGTGTTGCTGGCTGCTTCTATCATCAGCAAGTCCGGGAAAGGTAGGATATGTCCCTAATCAGAATTCTCTTCATTTATTCAGCTGCATTTTTTTGGAATTTGCGATTTTACTTACAGTGCTTCATGGTGAGAGATGTGCGGGGCACTGATTTTATGCAAGATTTTGGGTGCAATATGTGTTGTGGATGCTACCGAGTGAGGCCAACATTTCTGGAACGTCTTAGGGTTTTCTGTATTCTGAGGAGTTGGCGTTCTTCGGACGAGCATCTAGATTGTTATCGGGATTGCCGATCATGCTTTCTGCGAGGAGAGATTGTGAATTGTGTGGAAAACGAGGATACTACTGCTTAGATCTGAAGCCTGACTTGGTCAAATGTGAAATCGTCGACGTGAAATTTGCCGTGGAATGTAATACTGGTTAGGCTCAGGAACGATGCATCTCCAGGGTTTGAAATTTGTTCCAATCTCTGACGATATTGTCGGAATGAGAATAATCGCAGTATACTTGTTAATGTTCCGTTGCCTTCATTTAGTCTGTTCACCTGCGTTGCACCTTAATGAGTTGGGAGTGTTACATGCATAATGAGGTTCTCGTATACCTTGTGTAACAGCTGATATCTGGAAGCATCTATCATTGTGTGCAGCTCTGGTTTCTCGGCAATATGTGGACATGTCCAGGATACGAATTGAAGGGTTACTGGCTACTTTTCCGAAGCTTGTTGGTATCGGCAAGCAGCACACATACGTAGAAACCGACAGTGTCCGTTATGTCTATCAGCCAATGGAATCATTGTACCTTCTTCTAGTGACCAATAAGCAGAGCAATATTCTAGAAGATCGTGAAACCTTGCAACTGCTCTCCAAGATCGTATCCTACCCAAACATTATTTTTGTTTCCTTACGATTGTTAATTCATCAGCGTAGAATTTCTCTACACTCGGGAATCTCTCTGATTTGAGTGTTTTTTGCATGTTATGCATGACACTGAGTTTACCTCTTGACCTACACTAGGTACCTGAATATGTACCATCCCTTGATGAGGAGGGTATCTGCAGGATGGCTTTTGAGTTAATATTTGCGTTTGATGAAGTGATCTCTCTGGGTCATAAAGAAAACGTCACTATTGCGCAAGTAAAGCAGTACGTGGAGATGGAGAGTCACGAAGAAAGGCTGCATAAGCGCATTATGGAAAGCAAAATTAACGACACAAAAGATCACATGAAGCGTAAAGCCAATGAGATTGAGAAGAGCAAGGTATGCACTACTGTGATTATTTGTAGAGAAAGTTAGAATTGTATTTTTACAGGTCAGCACATATATTCTCTGAGCGATTGCAAACCTATACACATTGCTAATATGGACCTTTTACAAATTGGTGCTATCTCGCAAATGTGGCATCTGTTGGTGCTGAACTGGGCGTTGATCGGGATAATACAAGTCTACCTCATTGTGTGTTGCGTTTGTCTCTCATTAATTTGTTCAGAAAAAGTCAGTGCAAAGTGGTTTGTGGGTTCTGGTCATTCGAGGTCATCAGCTATTCGTATTAATCTATTTACTTAAATGAATAGTATCTTTTGACTACTTATTGCTAGAAGCCTCCAGTTCGATATCTTGGATCGTTAAAAAGAAAAAGAAGAAGAAAAAGAAAAAAAGAAAAAGAAAACAAGCGTAGACCAAGATGATATACCTACGCCTGTGTTCTTACAAATAATTAGTTTTTGACCATAGTATCAAGAGGATATGCGGTCCTTTGAAACCGAACTTGCAGTTCAGGTGCATCGTGTTGGTTGAACACCGGTGATTATGGCTGCTTGATTAGGTTTTATGTGTGCGAAATGCAGATTGAAAGAGGGAGGAGTGACAAAGGAAACTTTGTTCCATCTATGCCCTCGATGGGTTCCAGCAGGTTTGATATCAGCGATACTAACTCATCAATGGGTGGTGGCATGAAAATTAATTCTTCTGGCTTTGGGCCGAGTGTTGATGCGGATATCTTTAAACCCAAAGGTTCGTAACTCTGACTTTCTGTTACCTTCTCTAGTGTGACTGCAGCGGAGCACTCTTTTGTCTCCTACCTTGATAGTTAATGCATGGACTGATATTCGTTTTTCTGTTGCAGCTCGTGTTACCTCCACAGCAGTTCCTTCCAAGGGAGGCATGCAATTAGGCAAGTCAACTAAGACAAATCAGTTCTTGGAGTCTTTGAGGGCAGAGGGTGAGGTCATCGTTGAGGATGTTGCCCCTGGACCAGTGCGATCAGAAGCGGCTATTGCGCCCATCTATTCTGATCCTATTATGGTGGGTGTGGAGGAGAAGCTTGTTGTTGTTTTGAGGAAGGATGGTGGGCTCGAGAATCTTGAAGTACAGGGTAATATGTCTCTTGTGGTCCAGAAAGAAGAACATGCCTTCATTCGGGTTCAGGTTTTTGATCTTTTCTTAATTCTGATCTTCGATCATTTTCAGTTTTCATAATCTGAGCGGAGTTTTTCCTAAAAGTTCATGATATTTCTCGCCAAGTATTCCTCACTATTCAGGTTGATAATTTATTATCTTTTTTAACAGGTTGAATCAGGTGCTAATAAGTTGTTCAACTTCAAGACGCATCCAAATATTGATAAAAATCTCTACTCAGACAAAAATATTCTGGGGCTGAAGGACCCTAGCAGGCCGTTTCCCACAGGCAACCCCCTGGGCATTTTGAGGTGGCGCATGCAAAACAAGCAAGAGTCGCTTGTTCCTCTAAACAGTACGTATTTTTCGATCTTTGAGGCACAATGCAATGTTTTCACTTGTACGTTAGTGATGGCGGTTTGCGAGAGTGATCTATTTTTTGGCTGATCTTGTACAACTTGCACTGTTAATCGGGATTACTTTCCTGTTTAGATATTATCATTGTAACATATGTGGCTATGACGTTACCTCTGGTAGTCCAGTAATTTTAGTGCTTCATTTTTTCCTGTTTGTGATGATTAGTCCATAGCGAAACTGTAATTATGATGCTATATCTTGGGTTCGAAAGGTAATGTTCTTGCCATGTTTTATTTCAGTCAATTGCTGGCCTTCGGTATCTGGTGGAGAATCATACGTGAACATTGAATATGAGGCCTCTAGAGCTTTTGATCTCCAGAACACCGTCATCCAGATCCCATTGCCTGCACTTCGTGATGTGCCAACGGTTAATCAAGTTGATGGTGAATGGAGGTTAGTTGGGCGCCATTATTGCGATCTCTGTCCTCTGTAACCCTACCTCTTTCTTCCTTCCTTTCGTATATGTCTGAATTGAAGTCTTGATTCTTGGTGAATATTGTTGTCTGGCTACAGGTATGATTCCAGGAATTCATTATTGGAGTGGACCATCACGCTGATTGACAATTCCAATAGGAGGTACTTTTGTGCTGCTTATTCTATTACTTGTTGCTGAAGGGTTTTTGTGGAGAAACAATGGTACTCCAAGATTCTCATATCTTGACAACTCACATTGATTGGTTTTCCTCTTGTTGCAGTGGATCTATGGAGTTTGTGGTACCTGCGGCAGACCCAAATTCTTTCTTCCCAATAGATGTCAAGTTTACATCGAACAAGACTTTCTGCGATATGAAGGTAAGCGACCGTATACTAGTCCTGTGTGTTTTAAAGTGCCCAATAACCCTCAAGTGTTTAGGTTATTTTTGCATGCCCCTAATATTTTCTATCCTGATGCTGATGGCAGGTTGGATCCGTGGTTGAATGTCAAAGTGGTAATACTGTCAAGTTTGGAAGACGGACGCAATTGGTGGTGGATAGCTATCAAGTTGTATAAACTTAAAACCAAACACACACAATTTCACCAGCTAACCTGTAGTGAACCCTTGAGAAGAGAGGTGATTATCTCTTTTCTTTGTCCAAGACTAAGATTGATGCACCAGATCATGTAGATCGCTGCTGGTATATTACCGGTTTTCAGCCTTGCTATTCTACTGAATGGTGATTGAATCATATTTGCTTCGGCGATTTTCATACACTATACCTTTGTAGGTGATGGTGCGTATGCACTAATGATGGGTCGGGTAGATGCAAAAGTGATTTTGGTTAGGATGGATTAGTTGGAACGAGAGAATACGGGTATGTTTGGACTAGGTAGGATAATTGTGGCTGGAAAAGCTGAGCATTTCTCTCCGCGAGGGTTTTGTTGAATATGGCATCTGTGTAACTTTTTTTTTTTTTTTTTTTTTTTTTTTTTTTTTTGTTGTTGTTGTTGTGACGCTTGATATTGGGACTGAATTGTATTTTGTAGAGTGTTGTCCACTTGTGGAAGAATTGCAAATGAAATTGTCGTATATGCATGCTTCTATTTCTCATACCTGCTTATGATGGAATGAAATGGAGTGATTAGCCCGTAACCATGTTGGGAGGGCGTAGCGAGTCGTGTAAGGCACGGTTAGTGGGCCGAAGTAGCAGTGGGACGCGTGCGCAAGGTGCATCTGCGGCGGCAGACTGGACGGCCGTCCTCATCCGTTCTAGTCTTGATGGTTAGGTTACTCGGCAAAGGACAGAATCCGATGGGAAACATCAAGATGCACACTGGTTCTATAACTGGCAAAGCATACAAGTATCTGACCTGACCCCACTTGTAACATTCTCGTAATGATAAAATACGACGAACAGATTTGCATAATCAAACAACCCCCAGCACACAAGTGGACCCCCATCCCCACACCAGCTGAGTACAACCTAACACAACTAGAGCAACTGCAGACAGAAGGGATCCTTCCCACTAAAGCCAATCTATTTTTCTTCGGCAATTAACTCCCCACGCACATCAACACTCACATCGACAACATCTAAGGGTAGTTGCCCCAATAACCTGCAACTAGGGGCCTCCAGTCCTCCTAAATTGGATCATGCCAATGTCAATTGACCAAGTGGCTATTGCCACTCTCAACGTGAAAAGTCTAGGGAGGGACCTTTCTGGCATCAGAAAACGATGGAAACTAATGGAAACATTTAGATCATCCAACCCCTAACCAGATATCATACTCCTATTAGAACACACCTTCTCCTTGGACGAATGCATTAAGAAAACTGATCATTTGGACTTCCTCCAGGGTCTTTTATGTAGAATGAAGCGATTTACTCCGCAGCAATAGACAGCTTTATAGGGGGCATTGCAATCATATCAAAAAAACATATTACCAACCAAACGTCTGAACATGGCATTATAAAACAGGTTGGGCATAGTATATTACATGACCTTCCAGTGGACAAGAGAATGCAAATTCGGCATTATCAATTATTACGCTTATAACTATACAAGGTCTAGATCAAGATTATGGAAGAAAATCTGCAACAACCTTTTGAGGGTTGAATAGATTGTCGCAAGAGATTTTAATATGAACAAAGACCTGGAGGATAAACTAAGAGGTAGTCATACAACGAGTAGAGGCCAGACAGAGATTGATGCATGGGACGATCTAGTTATACAAGTAGAACTGCATGACAACTTCTGGTCTGATATGTATTGGAGAGTCACGAAGAAGAAATACTCCTGGGATAATCAAAGGAGAGGACATGACATGGTGTGTACGAGATTGGGTAGATTTTACATTACGACCAATCTACTCCAACTAAAGGGCCAGAACAGAATTTGGCATACACTTCTTCACATTTTGGATCAGGCCCCGGTGTTCTTGAAATTGAAGAACAACAAAAACAGCATCCGCAAAACTCCGCCTTTTAATCGACAATTATTCAAAAAAGAGGACACCAAAGCTTCCCTCATTGAAGTCTGGAAAACATCAATTACAGCAAGTGAGTACCAAAGCTAGAATCAGAAGATGACCGAGGCAGTGACGGCGGTGAAACACTACAACGATGACAAAATCAAGAGCCAAAAATAGCAGTGGTGGACAATCTATGAAACATAGCTCAAAAAAGTATTTGTGGCCGAACTAAACCTTTAGAACAACTAGTTTAACCAGGACGTTAGATGTGGCTCAAACATACATCCAAAAAATCATATAATATATCTATTGTGCTTTCACAATAGATAAGCTTGGGGGACCTATGCAACTCCAAATTCTTCCACTACCATACAAGCAATAGGAAACTGGTGGTCATCAATGAACTAGTAGAGGGAAGTAGAGTCGTGACCAACTAGCATGTTATGCAAGTATATTGCAAGCAATAGAAGTCCAGTGTCATAATGTAATTGCTTATAGCATATAAAAATTAGTTAGAATATATAATATGTTCATAATTCTTGGTATGTGTTAGAATAGTTAATAGATTAATTTAAAGAAAGTGGATATAAGAAACTTTATTTTGAGTTTTATTTATTTTGATTATGGCATTTAAAAAATTATAGAACCTAAATATTTAGTATAAAGCCTTGAGAGGAGATTAGAGGCTAAAGATAAAAATCTAAACTAATAGGAGGCTTACTGGGAAGGAAGAAAGAAAGGCATAGTCGGATGAAGGCAAGGGATGGAGATCTTCATCCCTATTGGTCGAAGGCTATGTCCAATAGGCTTTTAGAAGGCAATCTACGACCATAAGAAGAACTTTTGGCGACCTTAGAGAGGCAATTGAGAATCAAAAGCTAGGATTGTAAGATTTAGGCATTGGCCTATAATTTGGACAAACAAATTGGTGAGTTTGGAATTAAGGTGAAGAAATTATAGCCATTTGAAGTTAAGGTAATATTTTAAGACATACTATTACTCTTTTGAGCATAAAAGGAGTTTTATAGCAATTTTTGGAAATTAGAAGATGTATCTAGAATGGCGATTTTATGACTTACATCTTTTATGAAAGAATTGTTACATTTAGAATTTAGATGAAGAAATTATACAAAGTTGAAGTTAGCACATCCAAATCAAAGATAGTAAGTGAGTGATTTTGCTCATAGTATTGGTTGGAGCCATATCTTGAGTTTCTTGATGAATTTTTAGCTCAAACCTTTTAAAGAAGGTAGATTAATGTGTTAAGAAGCTATATATATAAATTTCAGGGCATTTATATACTTAGTTTATAAAATATAAAGAAAATTACATGTAGATATGTAAAAACTAAGGTTTGAAGCTATTGTTAGGATTTTGGCAATATCTTAAGATCCGCTATAAATTTGTAGTTGAAATTTGTTGTGATAGTTTTCAAAAGTATATCAGTACTTCTTGTAAAATTTGAGTGTGTTTGAACGGTCTAATTAGAAGATATGAGTTGTTGAAGTTAAAAAATAATACCTCCTAAGGATATATAAGGATTTAGAATTTTTTATCATATTTTGGGTGTTTTTGGAAACTTAAGAGTTATATATTTGGTGTAATTGCTCCTAAAAGTGATATATATATATATATATATATAAATATAAAATTTATCTTTTTTATCTCAAAACTTGATTGAGCAATTAGTGACAACCAAGAGTCAAGTACTTTCTTGAGTCAAACTCTCTCTACCCCGACATTGGTGGCCATCAAGGAACTAGTAGAGGGAAGTAGAGTCCTGACCAACTAGTATGACATGCAAGTATATTACAAGCAATAGAAGACTGGTGTCAGGGTAGAGAGAGTTTGCCTCAAGAAAGCATTGGGCTCTTAGCTGTCACTAATTGCTCAATCAAGTTTTGAGATAAGAAAAACCAATTTTGTATATATATATATATATATATATATATATATAACATTTTTAGGTACTATTTAAGACTTAAGTTCTCAATAATATCCAAAATATGATAATATCTTCTAAAACCTTATATATCCTTATGTAGAAATTTTTCCAAACTTCAATACCTCATATCTCCTGATCCAACTGTCCAAGATTACTCAAATTTTACATGAAGTACTGATGTATTCTTATCAACTTTTATAACAAATTTCAACTGCAAATTCGATGTGAATCTTGAGATATCTTGAAAATTCTAATAGTCACTTCAAACCCTTGTCTTTATATTCCTATGTGCAATTTTCTTTATATCTCACAAAATAAAAGCTTAAATGCCACAAAATTTATATATATAGCTTTATAATACAAAATTTTTTATTTTTCAAAAATTTTGAGCGAAAAATTTGTCCGAAAACTCAAGTTATGGCTCCAACCATTACTATAAACAAAACCGCTCACTTACTACCTTTGATTTGAAAGCACCACCTTCAACTCCCTATAATTCTTTCACATAAACTCCAAAAGCAACAATTCTTTCATAAAAGATGTAGGCCTTAAAATTTTCATTTCAATAGCATCTTTGGATCTTTAAAATCTGGCCTAAAACTCCTCATATCTTCAAAAGAGTAATAATATGTCTTAAATTAATAACTTAAATTCAAACGGCTATATCTTCTTCATCCTTATTCCAAATCTTCTAAATTTTGTACACAAATTGTAGTCCAAATCCTAAAATTTACAATCTTATCTTTTAATTGCTGAATACCTTCTTTGAAGTTGCCAAAATCCTTGTTAAGGTCACATGCAGCCTCCTCCAAGTGCATTGGGCATGGTATTCGACCAATAGGAATGAAGTTTCCCATTCCTTGCCTTCATCTGACTATGCCTTGCTTTCATCCCTTCCAATAATCCTCCTATTAGTTTAGATTTTCATCCTTAGGCTTCCACCTTCTCTCAAGGCTTCATACTAAATATTTAGATCATATATATATATATATATATATATATATATATATTTCAAATACCATAATCAAAATAAATAAAATTCAAAATAAAGTTTCTTATATCCACTCTCTTTAAATTAATCTATTAATCATTCTAATACACACTGAGACTTATGAACATATTAATTGTTCTAACTAATTTTTACATACTTTATGCATTTACAGTACGACACCGACAATCATCAAGGAATTAATAGAGAGAAATAAAGTTCTGACTGACTAACATGACATACAAGTATATGTGGATTCTTTTTAAATTGCATTATATTTTCATGACACTATAGTATAAAACAACTACCAAGCTAAGGCAAATCGCCTCTATAATATCACAACCAAAGTTATAACAAAGCAAAATGCCCTATTCACATAACTCCTTATTACAATGGAATTATACATTTCAATCAAGGATCTACCAATACAAAAGGCTCTTAACATTGATGGTATACCTATTAACTTTTTCAATGCTCTTTTGAATGATATCAATATAAATTTCTTAACATTCATCAAAGAAGTCTTTTGGAACTTCAATCTTTGTAAGTTCCACAATACAATGCTT